AAATTATAACTATAATGACAAATTAAGTAATATAAATTTAATTAACTGCGTAATTTACGAATATATTTTGATCATATTAGTTTTTGTCACGATATATTGATCATGTATTGCTTGAAATTAGTAAGTTAAAGTGTAAGTTGACACAAATATTTATTGGAAATTTTATGGAAAATGCTTCATCACAAATATTTATAAGGAATTATTATAGCCTGAGATAAGTCAAAAAATATTATTTTAAAATATTTTATCGAGTATAAATTTTTTTCTTAAATTCAATAAACTCTTCTTATATAAAACTAGAACCGGGATTATTAGTCAAGAATTGGACAAGCATTTATGGCTGAACTTTTCAACGGTCATTGGAAAAATTGAATCCAATAATGTTGGAAGAATTTAAGATATTGTATTAATGGCTATTCAAATGGTCATTTAATGACTAATTAAAGATGATCAATGACTAATCAATAAAAGATATTTAACCACAATAAATGTATTGATAAAGAATGAACCTAGACACAAGTATGAATACTTTCTTTTGAGATTCCAAAATTATTTTTCCAATAACATCATAGTCGTCACTGTATTTTGACATAATACATAAACATACTGTTAAAATTGATCTTAACTCAACTTTGAGATTGATCTCCATTTCTAACTAAATATTTCAACTCGTTTTCATTGTGTTTCGTATACATTCATCCAATAATGACACAGTGCATAAATTTTAAATAGGTAATTAAATGATCATTTTATAAATAATCAAAAGTGTTGAGATGACTAATTTGCAATACTCTTCTCAGAGTGATCTTTTTCAATTTCGAAACAAAAAAACACTTGATTAAAAACACAATTCCCACAACAACTTCTAATAACTCGTTCATTATTAATCTGTGCTGGAGTAGGGGCGGATGTAACCAAGTGGTCCACTTTTTATTTTATCTTACTTAAAAGAGAAAGCTCCCAAAGATTAAATTATTAAATATTTATAAAAAAAACTTAAAAAGAAATTATAGAAAAATAATTTCAATTCTAATTTGGCAACTATACACTAGTACACCATTGGCTTACCATAAATAAGATCATATTATAATACTATATATACATACACAAGTAACCGATAATTGAAGCCATTTTTTGGGAGCAACCCACTTTTCAGATCTCTGATTAAGGTATGGTATTGATTAATTTTTATTTAAGTTTAGATGCAAAGAAAATTATTTAATTTGAAGTTTTGGAATTTTTACTGTTTTTTTTTTTGTTAAAATTGATGTTTGTTTAACTCAGTTATTATCGATTTTATGGCTTGAATTTGTATGTTTTTGATTTTTGATATATGGGTCATGAAGAAATGAAACTTTTGTGATAATATAACCAGTAAAATTTCAAAAAATGGAATCGTATCGAGTACAGTTTTTGGAAAAAAAAATGTTTTGTTGGAGAAATTTTGTCTCTTCCTATTTTTTTTAAAAATAAAATAGTGTTTATATCCGTGTTTTGTGTGGTCATAAAAATAATTATCTCGTATCCCAATAATTAGTTTAGGTAGGATCAGTTCTATTACAAAAAATATTTTTTTAAAGATATTTATATTGAAGCTCGACTAAATTCGAATCTAAACTTGGGAAATCCAATAAGGTGATTCTATACCGAGGCAAACTCGAACCAAAACCTCTTCGTTAAGGAAGAATGAGTACTTACTACTCCATCACAATTCTTGTTAGTCTATTACAGAACATATAAATTATATGTTGTGAAACAATATAGGTAGTGAAGATCCATATACTAGCTTGTGATTGAGACACATTTGATTTTGTTGATTAAGATTTGACTCAGATGATTTGGTTGTGTTAAAGAATATAAGAAATTGGTCATTTTAACTGGTTTGATCCACATTTTTGCAATGTTGTTTTTCGTCTTATAAATCTTGATTTGGTTGTGGTTGTATATTAAAGTTGTTGTAGTTACAACTCTAGGATTCATTAAGTTCTCAAATCTTCGCGCTCAATTGATATGTGTTCTGTTTTTGCTGCTTCTGCCTGTTGGTATGTTAGCCTAGACAGATTTCTGTAACAGAATATCTGGTGTTTATGCTAAATAATTGTTGTTAAATTGCAGGCAACTCCACACGTTGTATCGCGTATGGCTAGCTTCAAGGCATTCTTGAACAGTCCTGTTGGCCCTAAAACAACTCATTTTTGGGGTCCTATAGGCAATTGGGGATTCATCATTGCTGTACACTTATCTAGAATAACATGATGTTCGTTTTCTTTTCGTTGACATTGTACATGAGTTGTCTTTATGTACATTGCAGGGACTCGTAGACACACAGAAACCTCCAGAAATGATATCACGCAACATGACTTCAGGTATAGAACTTCTCTGTTTAAGCAGATGATGGTGCTGGCTTTAAGGACGATTAATGCATCCATCTTCTTTTCCTTCTGATAATGCAGTAATGTGTGTGTATTCTGCACTGTTCATGAGGTTTGCATGGATGGTACAGCCGCGTAATTATCTACTAATGGTATCTCATGCCTCGAATGAGACTGTGCAACTTTATCAGTTATCGCGTTGGGCAAAAAGTCAAGGGTAAGCGATTACTCTAATTTTTTAGGAGTATATGTTTTGCAAATATATGCTACTCAATCATTTGTGTTTATGTTTGTTTCCCCATCGTATGTGCAGATATTTGAAGAAGAAAACAGATAAAGCAGAGTGATCTAGTGTTTTTTCCTGTTTAATTCTGGACATGTCTATAGTTATGGTAATTTTCGATCTCTCTGTTTGCACAGATTATTGTCCTTGAATGGCAAGAAATGTTAGTATGGAAGAATTTAATATATTTGTGATTTCACCCCGTGCAAGGTTCATTTCTTATCATATTATCAGAGTCATACTCATCTCAATTTTTGGTTTACATAATGTTGAGCATCGGTATCATATTGTTCATGCTTCAGATATCCAGTCTTGGAGGGCGAGGGCGAGAGCCCTACATTAGGGTGTGGGATGAGTTTGTTTCCTCTTTATATGATCTTGAGTAATCCTAGCTCGTGAACTATTTTGGAGTTAAGTCAAACCGAAGGTTCATTTAACTTTTAGCTGTCATGTGCACCACAAAGTCCAAATCAAGATAAAGAACAAGGATATGATCTATAGAGTAGGTGAAGACTGTTGCTTCTATTTGTTGCTATTTCTTGTCTTTGTTCCTATACTGAAGAGGGGCGGGGGGTGGGTGCTACGAAAGGAAAATAGGCTCATCGACGTTGGTCTAATGACTCAAAATCGTCAGAATATGGGCCTTCCAAACTTTAAGTTAAACACTAGTATCGTTGCTCGTCTTTTGGGCTGCTGTAGAGACCGTCTTCTCAACCATGTCGAGCTTGTCTTTCTGGTATCTGTCTCTTAAGTATACTCGTAATAGGTTACATAAATCATTAGTTGTAATAGCCCCAGAATTGCTCCTATCACATTTGCTGTCTGAAATAAAGAAGCGAAAAATTGAGAGCAATCTGGTAGGACTTAACTTATATACGTTGACAGTATAAAGTAAGTGAATAATACTCACAAGAAGGTAGAATTCGACACGGATGATGGCATAAGCAGTCCAACTTATGCTGCATAGAAAGGAGAAAAAGGAAAAATAGAAGGGCATGGACTTCACACTCTTGGTTTTTATCATCAATTTCCACGATAGTAAAAAAGTATCAAAAGTTCTCTATATATTCTACAAACATAGATTTCACACATATGCTAAGGCCGAAGCTAAGAGGGATGCAGACATAGATTTCACACATATGCTAAGGCCGAAGCTAAGAGGGATGCAAAGGGAACCAATTTGAAAACCTGGCTCTTCGCTGAAAAATTACACAGTATATACAAAGTCAGTTTATTTTTGTTGATTTTATTTAGTGAACATTCTAGAAAAAACATAAGTACGTAAAAAAAGAAATTATATATTTAACATGATGGTCAAAGGAGAAGCATACATCAAAATATTTGCCACAATGCAACTAGTACCAACAATTGTGGATCTCTTTTTGTGGCAATGGACAAGAGTTGCAACAAGAATAGCAAGTGAAACAATGAACACAATTTCACTTAAGATGATGAAGAGAATTTTCATCCTTTTTTCCTTTTTAGAGTACAACACAAATAGCATCAAGTACACCATTTCAATGGCAAGTGCAATTCCATTAATGGTCATCATAAGAAGGCTTCTTTGTTGTTGAATCCATGGAAGTCCATATAAAAGCCAAAGGCCACAGTTTAGGAATGCAACAATGTATGGAAATGCTGAGAATTTCTCCACTGATTTCTTCTTCCATATGTGAATAAATGTAATTATAAATCATGAGAAATTATCTAGAGATGTAAAAAGTAAAATAAAAACAAGATATATATTATTATATGTTAAAAATAACAAAGAAAAGTAAAAATTATTTTTGAAATATATTAAAATAAGAGGGGAAAAGACTCAAATATGTCATTGAACTTTCAGAAAATGCTCAAATATACCGTCAATTAAAAGTTAAGGAAAGACTCATTCATGTCATTATTTTTTAATGGTGGTTTTGCAAAAACATTTTTGATATTCGGCCACGTCATCAATTTTTTTTAAAAAAAATATAATTCTAAAAAAAATTGTATTAATCTTTTAAAAATTTTATTAAAAAAATTAAAAATTATTTTTTTCAGAATTATATTAAAAAAAAAAGAAAAATGATGACGTGGTCGAATTATAATTGGCCACATGTCAAAAATGATTTTACAAAACCATCGTTGAAATATAATAACATGAATGAAATTTTTTTTTTAATGATAATGACATAAATGAACCAAACTTTTAACTGATTATATAAATAAATTTTTTCTAAAATTTTAATAACATGAAACTGAAGATATAAATAAGTTTTTTCTAAAATTTCAATAACGTGAAACTGTTCTAAATTTTCAAAAAAAAAATTGCAAACAATTTTATTAACCGATGGAACTATTTCAAATCACGATAAATAAATACTTTTTGACCCATTTTCACAATAGATAGACATGTGGAGGAGTAAAAATACACTACAAACCAATGTTCAAATGTCATTTGGCACTGAAAATTTAAATTTTCTTCTTTACAAAAAATAAAGAACACTTTCAACAAACCTCACATGCAACTAAGTGATCAGATGTAACCGCCATTGACACGAATAATTTGTCCATTCACCCATTCAGAAGCATCGCTGGCCAAAAATCCCACGACCGGAGCAACATCCTCCGACTGGCCGAGTCTTCCGTGTGGACATTCATCGATCACCTTCTTCACTTTCTCCTCTGTTGCTGCATTGAAAAACATATCCGTCGCTATCGGTCCCGGCGCCACGCAATTCGCCGTTATTCCTGTTCCTTTTAGTTCCTTCGCCAGTAGTTTCACCATTGCTTCCACCGCCGCCTTCGATGCCGTGTACGCACCGTTCCCAGCCCGAAATGACGCCGTCGCAGATGACGTCACACATATAATCCTTCCTCCGCCTCCGCGATTTATCATTCTGTTCGCAGCTTCCTTACAGCATAAAAAGGATCCACGAGTATTCACGCTAAAAGTCCTATCGAAATCCTCGAGATCTGTGTTCATAATCGTTGGACGCTTTCCGTCGCACACGGCGGCGGAGTTCACTAAGATGTTGACCGGAGATTGAAAAGCTGATTCAGCTGCGTCAAAGAGGGATCTCACCTCGTCCGGATCTGAGATATCAGCTTTAACGGCGACAGCGATGGAATCATTCATGGATTTATTAGAATTGATTTGAGAAACGACGTCGTTGGCTAGAGAAGTGGAGTTTGAGGAGGAATAGTTGATGATGAGCTTAGCACCGAGAGAAGCTAAATGAAGTGCAATTGCTTTTCCGATGCCTCGAGAAGATCCGGTAACGATAGCTACCCGATTTTCGAGCGGCAATTTTTGAGCAGGTACGTTTTCGTTTGATTCCGCCATGAATGAAGAAATAAAAGCTTTAAAATTACTAATACAGGGGAAGATGAACCAATTCGATGGTATATAAAATCCATCAAACTGATGATTAAAAATTCTTTGTTCATTGGAAAGATAATTGATTCTTTTTCAATTCAATTATTTAATGAAATACTAATCTGATGATTTGTTTAACAATAATATCATACCCAAACAGTACTTTACACCTTGTTTTAAATAATCACATAAGTATTTATACAACATTTTTATATTTGTTCTATCTCTTACTCTATTTTTTTTATAGTTTTTGGCCGAAAGCACTCTCAATCTTATACCCTTTAACTTAAAATTTTTGTCAAATAATTAACCTCCCACATAATTTCATTATTGGTTGGAAAAAGTTAACCCAAAAGAGTACTCCATCCGTTTTGTTTTACGTGGTACCATTTTCTTTTAAATTAGTTTAAAAAAAAATGTCATATTTATTTATACGATAATTATTTTAAAGGTGTAATTTGAATAGTATTTTTAAAATTAAGTGGGAGTTTTGACGAGAGTAGTATGAATTACACATATATTTGTAGGAATTTTGTCAATTTTTAACTAAAGGATGAAAGTTGTTAAAGTTTAAAATACATGAATAATGTGTTTTGTTAAGAAGAATAATTTGAGAATGCAATTTAAGTTAGAAATAATTTTAAAATGTTTTTGACTAAAAAATCATTCAAAATGACTGACATTACATAATAATGAAGAATGATACAATCTATTTAAACAGGATATTTATTAAAACAATACATTGCAATACACCACAATTCACATTACAATACATTATGGACATTCAAATAAGTGTGCAAAAAAACAACAATCACAAATGATTAATAATATTTGAAAACTCGAATGAATACCAATAATTCATCTAATAATTTCAGTAAATTCAAACTTATTTTATTTACACACTTCCCATGAAATTATCTGAATTTTTCTCTGACGATCCGTCAGCTCTTAACGCATTCTCTAACGTTTTCTTCACTTCCTTAATTGCATTTCTACACTCATCAGTCAATTTTCGATACATAAAATTATATATTTTCTCCGAAATTTCAACCTTAGTAATTGGATTTTTATCGCACAAATTAAGTCTGATTTTCCAATCATCGACTACTAATTTTCGATTAGTGAATTGATCAGTGAGCAAAGGGAAACAAAGCAAAGGAACTTCACACCAAATGGCTTCCAGGATCGAGTTTAGCCACAATGAATCAAGAATCCTCCGATTGCTGGGTGAGTCAACACTTGTTTTTTGACAACACTAAGATACGACTAAACCACGGCCACAAATTTCTCCTTCAAAATCTTTAGGTAACGGCTTCGGGTCATCGGAACTTACAATGTCGGGTCGGAGCACCCAAATAAAACTAACTTTACTTAATGATAAACCATAAGCTATTTCCACAAGGTCATTTTTGGTAATATGGGCATAGCTACCAAATGACACGTATGAAACAGTTGCATGTTGTTGCAAGTCGAGCCAGTGGGTGCAGTCGGACTCGAACCACATGCTAGTAGTCACACCTCTCTTGGTGAACTCGGGTGGGAAGATAGGTCCTATCGCGTAGAATGGATTTTCAATTTATAGAGTTAATATGGTCTCGAGTTCGAGTTCTAAAATAGTGTTACATAAGATTTTATGAAATCAGCATTTCTTACATCATTAAATGCATTGAAAATAATTTAATGACACATTGAGGTTGTGTCTGTTTCTTGAAGATATGACATTAGGTCCTTTTGGCTTTATTGATTGGACTCCTGGTATGTAGTCAATAGGGTCTTCACGCATATCTGACCTCAAATCAACAACAAACATCAAAATAAAAAGTTATAACATATAGTACAAAATTAATAAATCGTAGTCATGAAATTATCAGCACTAAAAGATAGGTTTCTTATATATTTTGTAGGTAGAGAAGTCGAAGACAAGAGTAGATTTCTTTGATGGTCACTCATCTAATTAGAATCAAGAAGAAAACTAATCAAACTTTTCTGATGTGGAAAACCAATAGTAGGGGGGACATATTTGAGACTAAAGATAATGGTGAGAGCGTGCATGGATTCAGAGGCGGAGCTAGGTGACGGTTCATGGGTTTAAACGAATTCAATAGCTTTTTCGTAGATCCTATATTTGTACTAGAAAATTAATTAAATATATATATGTACATTGATTTGTGAATCCCTAACAAAATTGATTAACAATTATTAACGAAATTTAGAACCCCAAACTCTTAATCCTGACTTTGCCTCTGATGGACCGGAAGATAGATGAAGGATAAAGGTAAGATAAATTGCAAAGTTAAGGAGCATTTTTGAACATTTTTCCTTGAAAGATCTTGTAATTGTAATAAGAGATTAAAACGAACTTAGTAAGGCTTACCAATACAACCAAAGTGGCCATGTAACTTCATGAGATGAAGATGATAATAAAGGGTAAAAACCAAAGCTGGTTCCGTCCAAAAAGAGATGTATAAAAGTCCATATTTCTTAGCCAATTTTCCAGGAAACACAAAGAATGAATCAGCAATCAAACAGGTCACTGGAGGATCTAATTTTGACTCCATAATTTTCACCAAAGCTTCTTCAACATGAGCTGAGAACACATGTAATAAAGAAGCCATGAATTGGTCATGGTTCAATGACCTATCAAAATTTACTGGTAGCCCATCAGACACCGTCATATAACATATATCTAGGTCTTGCTGACCTTGAACGCTTTAAAATATGTCGATATTACTATTCTTTTGAGTGATCCGACAGTGACTTAGGGGTGGGCATTCGGTATTTCGGTTCGGTTCGGGTTTTTTTTCGGTTTTTTTGGTTTTCGGTTTTTGTAAATTGCGTACCGAATACCGAACCGAAATATTTCGATTCGGTTTTTATTAATTCGGTTCGGTTTTTTATTTTGATTTTTTAATGGGCCTGTTTAGTGGGCTTTTTAAAATTTTAAACTTAACAATTTTTTCAATTTTTTGTTTGATTTTTCAACTTAATGGGCTTTGATATTTCAACTTAAGGTTTCTTATTTTTTTAAAAAAGATTATTTAATATTAATAATTATTAAATATAATATAATTTATAAATTATAATATAATATTTCGGTTTAAACCGAAATACCGAATTTCAAAGTAACATGTACCGAAAACCGAACCGAAATACCGAAAATACAAAAAATTAAACCGAAAACCGAAATACCGAAACCGAAATTCTAAAAAATTTCGGTTCGATTCGGTATTTCAGTTTTCCGGTTTTTATGCCCACCCCTAGATAGTGTGTGGACTCGGTATTGATGAAGGTTATAGTGAAGCCTTTTTGTGCAAGTTTGATTGCTAGTTGTATTGTGGGAACAACATGGCCTTGTAGTGGATAACATACTGATATTGCATGAAGTATTGGGCTTGAACCCACCATTTGTTGGACTATATGCAGTTGGCTAATTAAAGTTTGAAGAGGCAATGAGAGAGGAACTAAGTTTTGTAATGGATGAGGATGAACATAAGCAAGAATAAGCCTTACTTTTGAAATGGTACTACTATATGTAGCCATGAGTATGGAGGGTATCATGATATGCTTGGCGTAGCTAGTAATTTTATCAAAATAATAATATACTCTGTCTAATTTCATAAGTAGAATTGAAGAAAAATAAGATATACGCAAGTTTTACCCCTATCTTTTGGGGTAGAGAGCAAGAAAAGAATTTGAAGCATGGTAGCAACTAGCAAGTAAGGGTGTAATGGACGGGTTGGTTTGGGTTTTTCAATATCAAAACCAAACAATTTATGTTAGATATTTAAATCTTTAAACCAAATCAAATTAATAAAATTTGAATTTTTCAATCTCGGGTTTTTTCTTGTTTTTCCGATAAATAGTTTATATAAACATATAATTAATTTGTGATTCAAATATTCTTTAGTTCTACCAAAATACAACTATCTAAGGTGTTTCTTAAGAAAATAACACAAAATATGATATGAGTGATGACACTAAAATATTGATCAACAAAAGAAAATAATGGAAGTGCATGAAAAAAAATATTGCAAATTAATAAGTTATAATGAAAATGACCATAATTTTAAAATACTAAATCATGATAAAATAAGTCTAATAAGTATTAATAACACGACCAAATATTAAAGAAAAAATAAAATTAGATTATGTATTTTAATTGTCTAAATCAATGTAAAACTAAAGAACAAATATTCAACATTATTATTGTCATTCTTAGTGTTGAACTATTTTTTTGGTTAGCATTAGTATGAGTTTGATTTTGATTGAGCTTTTTAAAAATTATTAACATAAATGTATAACCTTTATTGGACGATTCAAGATTTTAAGTTTGTATTTAGAAATTATATCAAACTAAATATTTTTATATAATATAAAATAAAAAATTTAAATTATGTACATATTGTCCGGTTGGTCGGGTTTCGGGTTGAGGGTTGATTTTTTAGTTAAGACCAACCCAATTTAATCTAAGTATAGTCGGATATTTTTTTTTTACTCTTTTGCAGTTTTTGTTGATTTTTTGTTCAATTTTGTACACCCTTAGCAAGAAAAAAATATAATACCAAAATATAAAGTAATTGAAGCAATATATATTCGCAATATAGTTTTCTGCGAAATATAATTTTTCGAAGAATGATATTCAACGTCCCATCTTTTAGGCTATGTGGCTCTGCTGCTATTCCTAAATTTATTAAAATTTTCCCTTCTTTTTTTTTCTTTCTTTTTATCATTTGGATGATAATCCTAACAGAAATGTTGTCAGCAAATGACATAACACTCATATCAGCTATTATACTATAAGACATTTTTCTCTAACGTCAGATCTTTGTAATTTAGTTCCATAGATAAACATTGATTGGTTTTGTTGAAACTGAAAGTAAAATTTAGAGGGAAAAAATTGACAACATCAAATTACGAACTGATGAACAATCAAGCAATGAATGAAAACAAAGATAAATGACATGAATTCAAAAGGACAACACCTTTACCAGATTATAATGATATTAGCTTAGCTTCCTATACAATACCTTTACAATGTTTACAGAAATATTTTTGCTGCGGCAGAATCAACTTCTAAACCCAAATGCAGACCACTTCTTTGATGAAGTCTCCTTCTTCGTTGTCCTTTTAGAGTTTGGATCAATAAGATTCTCTAAGGATTTCGGGTTTTTGTTCCGAGATCTGCCTGCTTCTTTCAATAATTCAGCCAGCCTCTTTTTCTCATCGTTGAAATCAGGATTCGCAGTTCCGAGTTTTTCTTCTCTTAGTTTAAGAACGTACTCCAGAATCTCAATAGCATCATCCACTCTATATGTTACATAAAATGTCAGAACAACCTTAACATAAAAATATGCTTTGAAAGGTATAGAAACCAGTGATAGAGAGGTCATTTTCATTAGTCGAATAGAAGTACAGCAACATATTGGTCTATCCTACCACAAATGTGGTTAACCTCTAAGCACTCGATGCATATGGATTTGGTTCATAATGTATATAATAAACCACAAAATAAATGTAAGATACTTGTAATATATTGCTACTAATCCTTAGTCTAACAAGCTGGCATTGCCTATACTGCTTCTTCGTTTCATCTAGAGATGTAAAAGGAAATGCTCAAATGTTAATATTACCTTCCTATAGCATCATAAGTGGCGGCAAGATTGCTATACACACCAAGGGTATCTTGATGGCAATGGCCACACTCCTGTTCCAGAATTTCTTTAGCTTCTTCGAATAACTCAGCAGCCTCATCTATTTTAAACAGTTGTACAGAAGACAATCCCATCTGATTTAAAACAACTCCGAAGAAAGCTGATTTCCTCTCACCACTGGCTCTAAGTTTTATCACTGCATTTTCTAAGGAACTGCGCGCCTCTTCATATCTCCCGACCATATAAAACATAACACCCATTCGTGCCTCTATGCCAGCAATGGTACTTTGCTGTCCTGGTTTATCCTCTAATAGTTTCATTGCCTTGAGCAGCAGTTTCAGGGCCTCCTCGGGTTCATTAAATAACTCATATACTGCTGAGATTTCCGTCAATCCACAGGCAATATCTTCAGGGGTTGTTCCAGGTACAGGTTTTGCGTATATTCTGAGGGCATTCTCACAATAGGATCTGGATTCCCTCAGTTTTCCTGTCTTGTAGTATAGGTCAGCCAGCCTTACATAGACAGATGCAACTGAAGGATGGTTGTCACCCTTAGATGATTTGAAAACAGTGAGTGCCTTCTGATAGGAGAAGACGGCCTCATCAAAACGAGACAACGACAAGTAGATGTTCCCTATTCCAACATCAATAGCTGCAACCTCAGTTTCCTGTCCATTGGCAATCATAGCCATGTTGGCAAGTACAAGGTGCTCAAGGGCTGACTCATAATCACATTTAGCCTCACATATTAGAGCCATCAAACGACGATCAGCTGCCTCTTCAAGAGAAGCTGGAGGACTGTGTGCACGATGGATTTCCAATGTTTTCTTACACAAATTCTCAGCCTCATCAAACTGCATTGCCTGAACATGAGCCTCAGCCAAGTACCTACAATTCCAATTCAGTCGTATCAAAATAATTAAATCCAAGAAAACACACCGTCATCTTGGAATCGAATGATTACCAAAGGCTTATTGACCTCAATCACAAGCATCTGTTAACTAAGTTTTACAATGAATTCATCTGCTCTGCAGTAGAATGTTTTTGTCCATAATACAATTCGATTTTTCAGAAATACCAGTGACAATATTTGGAAATATACAAGTAACAAAGGTTTATCCCGTCTTCAAATGCCCAAACCACATCTACAGATAAACATATAACATAAAGAACTAAAAATGCAAAATTTGCGAAGACTTCAAATGCCAGGAGCAATGGGATAAGATACATTACCTACAAGTCTCTGCGACTCTTGGATCTGTGTCTCCCAAAGCTTCCATCTGCGTTTTCAATCC